GTTTCTTTCTGTGGCCTGCGAAACAATGAATGAACAAACTCTTGTAGTATGCAGCCTCTAAAATGGTTCCCAGTGATACTAATCCTCCATGGGTTTTCATACCTTAGTATAATCCCTGCTACTCCTTAGGGGTAGACTTGCTTCTTTCTAATGAATAGAATATGGCAAGAGTGACAAAATGTCACTTCCAAGACTAGGTTATAAAAAGACTACAACTCCCATCTTTCTCTATCCTCCTTGGAGCCCTTGTTCTGGCAGAAGCAAGGCTCCCTGTTGTGGGTGTCCTTTGAGAGGTCCACATGGAAAGGAACTCAGCTAACCGTTGTGAGAACCTGATATTTGCCAACAGCCACAAGAGTTTGGAGGTGGATCCTCCTCCAGTCAAGCCTTGAGATAATTGTAGCTGGACCAACACCTTGATTTCAGTCTTGTGAGAGACTCCAAGCTAGAGACACAGCTAAGCACATCCAGAGTCCTGATACACAGAAACTGTTGTTTTAAGTTGCTGTGTTTGTGTATAATTTGTTACACAGCAATAGATAGCTAATACAACTCTCAACCAACAAAAGATGTATTGTTCAGATTCAGTGACTAAATCTGCCCTATAAATCATCTGTAGAGGATGGGACTTACCACACCTAACATTTTTTCAGCATGGCCTATTCAGTATAGACATCTCTAACTTTCATTAACACTTGAAAGTCTGTTTTAGTCCCATTCTTTGAATGATCTGACACCCCAAACTAAAAAGAACAAAAGCCAGTGGCCAACTGGCAACTGGAAAGTCCAAATCCTCAATGTTGTAATGTCACAAATTGGTAAAAGGGAGGCCAGAAAGGGAAGTATGTGCTGAAAGCTGCCCTTTCTGGTCTTACGTGATTAATTCTTGCAGCTGGAGTTTCTCTACAACCACAGGATTGTGGCACCACGAAGGTGGCCATTTTCAAATCTTGCCTGACATCAGAATGTAATTCAACTAGATAGAACCTGGGTCATGGCCAAAATAAGTAGCATTTTTAAAACTGGAGCCAATGAATAGCATCACTTCTCTGTGGGACTATATGGAGTGAAGAAATAAAGGCCTTTTTTGTTTCAAAGGGCAGGGACAGTTGGAAGATTTGCAGCAGACAGTAACAAAATGTCCCACCCTTAGCCCTCCAAAGAAGATACCAGGTAGCAGCTTTGGCAGCTGTGTCTCTAGCTTTGAAGGTGTTGCTTGGAAAAGAAATTGATTCTGGACAGAATGTAAACCAATGTTAGTACATTAGCCTAAAACAGATTATTGAGCCCCCTACGCCATGTATTTACTTTGTCTAATCTACTTCCCTTGATTATTTACCACTGCATGTCAGGTAAGGCATGGAAAGCTATTGCACCCTGCTTACAAACAGCCAATTCTCGTTTTTCATAGTAATTCTGGAGTGAGGTGGTTTTCTTTTTTTTAAAAAAAATATCACCTAAAAAAATACAAACTTAAAAAAAAAGAAAATTGCCTTTGCTTCTCTGGTGTTTGCACTTTACTGCCTGGGACAGAACACGAGAACTCACATCTGTGGCACTTCTGAGCTGGGAGGGGTTTTCTACATCACAGTCTGTATCCACTCAATGGCAGTGGGTTTGTTTTTTTGTAAATACTTAGATTAAGGAAAGTTGGTGGTACAGTGGTTAAAGCATTGGGCTGCTAACCAAAAGAACTTACAAGCCTCTCCCAAGAGAAAGATGTGGCAGGCTACTTCCATAAAGATTTACAGCCTCAGAAACTCTATGGGGCACTTGTACTCTGTCCCACAGGGTCACTATGAGTTGGAATCCACACGACAGTAGATGGTTTTTAAATATTTTATTCGTCCTCTGTATGGTTTTGCTTTTTTTTTTTTTTTAAGAGGTCTCTTTTTTCTTGCTCAATATTATCCCTATTACCTAACATCAGGGAGCTGTCTGGAACTATGAGGAGTAGAACCTCATCAACTAAACTGGTTTTGGTTGTATTTGAGACAGTATTTTTATCCTGTCTGTTTTCGTTTTATTTGATGACAGTACTTCTATTTCTCCCTCCATAAGCAAAGATGACTTAGATCAGTGGCCTGATGAATAAACATGAAAATTTGATTTGGAAAAGGAGAATATCCTGAAGGTCATGGAGAGAAATTCCAACCCCCTTCCTCTCCTGACCCCTACACACACACACACACACACACACACACACACACACACACACTTTAAATGACAAAGAAAAGCAGTGGCATTGTCTTTAAGCAACCTACATCTTTCAATGCAATATGAACGCTTCCTAATGTTAGGTAATAAGAATAATAATTTTAAAAGAAAAAACAAAGGACCCCTTTAAAAAAATAATAAAAAACAGGGGAAGAATGATACATTTAAAAAGCAAACATCGTTAATTCTTCATATTAGTTTGAGACAGATACCCCAATGTGGTTAAAACACAAAAAAAGCCACCCCGGGTATAAAGGAAAAAGCAAGGATTTGGAGGAAAAGATGAGCACTGGGTTGAGGGCCCGAAGGAGCTTGTGAGCTGCTGACACTTTACCCCCGCCCTACATTCCACCTTCCAGACGCAGAAATTGGAGAGAGCGGGAAATGTCACAGAACTGTGAATTGGAAGATTCCCCTACAAAATTTAAAAACAAGAAAATAAATAAAAGAAAAACAGAGGAGGCCGAACTCTCCCATGGAAGGGAGCTCGATGAATCGTCTTAGATTCCAGAATCATTTTCCTCTTGCTGGAGAAGCAGCGCACCAAGGGCAGCGGAGGCCGCGCCTTCTGCAAAAACTCCACCTCAGAGTTCCAGCGCCCGGAACTGCAACTGGCAGCTGGCTCGTCCGGAGTAACGTTTTTTTTTTTTTTAAATAGCACAGTATCGCTGTGTGTGTGTGTGAGAGAGAGGGAGATTGGTTTGTTTGTTTGTTTGTTTGTTTTGTTTTGTTTTCTTCCTTTCTCGACATGTCAGTTTCCTGCATGGGAATTCATCACATCCCTCGCTGCGCGGAGAGAGGGAAGGGAACCCCCGCCCGGCTGAGTAACTTCTAACCTCGCCACGGATAACCCGAGAGCGCGCGCCAGCGCCCAGCGCCCAGAGCGGGGCAAGGATGTGACCAAGAACAAAGGAACGCTTGCCAATCAGAAAACGCTACCCGAGAATGAGAATAACCCCTTGTCACGTTTTGAAGACTCCTTAATTAGCAGATGGCCCTGTTTCTAATACGCATTACAACTTTTCTAAGCACCATTCCAAAGGGAGGGTCGAGTGACTGCTCCTGCCACGCTGATGAGATCGCGAATGTCCACGCGCCGCAGAACTAGGGATAACAGGGCAGTGGCAGATGCGCTTTCAATCGTACAGCCTTCCTCGGCAGTCCGTCTCTCTCAGTTCCTTTCAAAACCGTCTTCCCCAAACACTTAGTTTTCTCATAACCTCCCTAGAGCCACACCAGCAACTTAGCCCCTGGGCCGTGCGCGCGGCCGGGGTGGCGGGGACCGACGTCTCCTGCTCTCTAGCCCCACCGAAGCGTCTGCACTTCCTCGCGCCTAACTCGGCCGCTCTGTCTGAATCCAATTTCTCCGCCGGGATGGCCCTCCCTCCTTTTTCACAACTGGGGGATCCCGGAGGTGAACGGAGATTGTGGCCTCACGTGGTCGGCTTAGGTCTGGGAGAGAAAAGCGAGCAGCGAGGCGCACACTCGGCCTCGGACTGCGCCTCCCATTTAGGACATCGGCTACCCAAGCCCCCAGCCCCACACACCCCGCCAGCCAGCATTTTGAGGCCGGGTAGGCTAACGTGACTGCGAGCCACAGCTCTCTTCGCTGAGGCGCAGCGCCTCTCTCAGTTTCTGTCCTTAGAAGCCTTTCCAGATCGCGCCTTCAGCTCAGGAATGCACATTTTAGTGTACCCGGAAGAGGAGCAAATCTTTCAAGTAAAATCCCCTTTCTGGAGCCGTTTCTACCCCCAGAGCGTTTGCAGGGTAAAAGTTTTTCCTAACTTTTTCCTCCCAGTCCCCGCCCCTCCCCTCAGGAATCCGCCCAAAGCGCTGCAGACACCGCCTCCCTCGTTCCCTCGCCCGCCCCTTCCGACTTCCACCCAATCCGAGGACGGCTCCAGAGAAAACAAAGGCTGCCATTGGGCTGCCCGGGAACTGGGGGGCGCGCCCCGGAGTGGTTTGTGAATGGGGGGAGGGGAGGGGGCGGGGCGGCCCCGAACCCTGCAAGCCCGAAGCTTCTTCTACCGAGTTGCGCGACTCCAAGGCGTTACTCGGCTCTCCCTCCCGGCGGGCGGTGGCGGCGGCGGCGGACGGACGAGGGCTGCGCGGGGCTGGAGAGGCCCGGCCAGGCCGCGGGCGCTGGGGCCTCGCAGCTTCGGACGTAGAGTAACAGGATTTCCAAAAAGAAGTTGCTGAGCTCTTGGCTCAAAGGCGCCGATCAGACTCTGAGCGAGAGTCAGCCTTTTGGCTGAAACTTGGGGTCGAGATTTTGGGGGCTGAAGAAGGAGCAGAGAGTGAAGAAGGAGGCGGCGGCGAGCAGAGCCTCGAGGCGAGGAGGCGGAGCAGCAGCGCCGAGGCGGCGGTCCAGGGGAGCAGGCTGCGGCGCCGGCCTCTCGCCTGGCGGGGACGGACTTGGTGTGGGGAGCGTGTGCGTTACTGTGCGCTGGGGGCCGAGAGACTTGGGCAAACTTTGAAGGGTAACCGGAGACGCTTGTCGCTCCTCGCCGCAGAGGAAGCCGCTCCGTTACGGCTCTGCGAGGAGGGGAAGGCAGCCCCTCTCGGCGCCTCTGGCCCAGGCGGACGAGTTTGGGGCCCAGGCGGCCTGGCAAGTGCTGGGTGGAGACGGCTGCGGCGCCCCCGCTGCTGGCGGCCTCGCCCCCGCGGCGCGGGCACCCGGGCGGCAGCGCCCTCGGCTCCACGCCACCCACGGCCAGGCCCCGGCGCCGAGAGGATTCTCATGCGCCGGGCGCGGCTTCGCCTCCACGGATCCAAACCTCTCCCAGTCGTCTCGTCTCGCTTCTCCGGCTGAGAGCGCCGCTGCACCTTCAGCCGGCGATGCGGGGCCTCGGAGCGGCTGCGTCGCGCTCTCCCCTGGGACTGTGCGCCCTGGTGCTGGCGCTGCTGGGCACGCTGCCTGCGGACGCTGGGGCGCAGCCCTACCACGGCGAGAAGGGCATCTCGGTGCCAGACCACGGCTTCTGTCAGCCCATCTCCATCCCGCTGTGCACGGACATCGCTTACAACCAGACCATCCTGCCCAACCTGCTGGGCCACACGAACCAAGAGGACGCGGGCCTCGAGGTGCACCAGTTCTACCCGCTGGTGAAGGTGCAGTGTTCCCCAGAGCTGCGCTTCTTCCTGTGCTCCATGTACGCGCCGGTGTGCACGGTCCTGGAGCAGGCCATCCCGCCTTGCCGTTCTCTATGTGAGCGCGCCCGCCAGGGCTGCGAGGCGCTCATGAACAAGTTCGGCTTCCAGTGGCCCGAAAGGCTGCGCTGCGAGAATTTCCCGGTGCATGGCGCGGGCGAGATCTGCGTGGGCCAGAACACGTCGGACGGCTCGGGAGGTCCCGGCGGCGGTCCCACCGCTTACCCCACCGCGCCCTACCTGCCCGACCTACCCTTCACCGCGCTGCCCCCGGGGGCTGCAGACGGCAGGGGCCGCTCCACTTTCCCCTTCTCGTGCCCTCGCCAGCTCAAAGTGCCCCCCTACCTGGGCTACCGCTTCTTGGGCGAGCGCGACTGCGGGGCCCCGTGCGAACCTGGCCGCGCCAACGGCCTCATGTACTTTAAGGAGGAAGAAAGGCGCTTCGCCCGCCTGTGGGTGGGCGTGTGGTCGGTGCTGTGCTGCGCCTCGACGCTCTTCACCGTGCTCACCTACCTGGTGGACATGCGGCGCTTCAGCTACCCTGAGCGGCCCATCATCTTCCTGTCGGGCTGCTACTTCATGGTGGCCTTGGCGCACGTGGCCGGCTTCCTGCTGGAGGACCGCGCCGTGTGCGTGGAGCGCTTCTCGGACGACGGCTACCGCACGGTGGCGCAGGGCACCAAGAAGGAGGGCTGCACCATCCTCTTCATGGTGCTCTACTTCTTCGGCATGGCCAGCTCCATCTGGTGGGTCATCCTGTCGCTCACCTGGTTCCTGGCAGCTGGAATGAAGTGGGGCCACGAGGCCATTGAGGCCAACTCGCAGTACTTCCACCTGGCGGCGTGGGCCGTGCCCGCTGTCAAGACCATCACCATCCTGGCCATGGGCCAGGTGGACGGGGACCTGCTCAGCGGGGTGTGCTACGTGGGCCTGTCCAGCGTGGATGCGCTGCGGGGCTTCGTGCTGGCGCCCCTGTTTGTCTACCTCTTCATCGGCACGTCCTTCCTGCTGGCCGGCTTCGTGTCTCTCTTCCGCATCCGCACCATCATGAAGCACGACGGCACCAAGACAGAGAAGCTGGAGAAGCTCATGGTACGCATCGGCGTCTTTAGCGTGCTCTACACAGTGCCTGCCACTATCGTGCTGGCCTGCTACTTCTATGAGCAGGCCTTCCGCGAGCACTGGGAGCGCACCTGGCTCCTGCAGACGTGCAAGAGCTACGCGGTGCCCTGCCCGCCCGGCCACTTCCCGCCCATGAGCCCCGACTTCACGGTCTTCATGATCAAGTACCTGATGACCATGATCGTGGGCATCACAACCGGCTTCTGGATCTGGTCCGGCAAGACCCTGCAGTCGTGGCGCCGCTTCTACCACAGACTCAGCCACAGCAGCAAGGGGGAGACTGCGGTATGAGCCCCGGCCCCTCCCCCACCCTCCCGCACCCCCTCGCGGCGGGGAGAGGCGCGGCGGGGAAAGAACTGCAGGGTGGGGGATTTGTGTCTGTAACCTTCTCCCCCGCCACTGAGCAGTGACCTGGAAGAGAGGAGTCAGTTGCAGATTTGGGGCGAGGAGTGGGTTTGGAAAGAGGCCTGGTGGAAAGACGGTTTGGGTGAAAAGGCTTCTGGCACAAAGACTTGCAGGATCATGGCGGTGATAATAGGATGGTATTAATCATGTAAGGTAAGGGCAGATTTAGGCCTACAGTGAAAATTGAGAGCTGCAGAGACTGCTGCGAGTTCCTCCCCGGCGCAGGGGCTGCGCTGGGGCTGCGAGCGGTTCCTCCGCTGCCTGAAAGACACAGGAGGAGGAACCGTCGTGGCCTGTCCCCACGCCTGTGAGGCCCGGGTGAAAGGTACAGCTCTGTCTGCGGCGGCCGCTTTGTTGGGAAGAGGGAGGACTCCCTGCGGTGTCCTTGTCAAGCGGTGGTCAAACCATAATCTCTTTTCACTGGGGCCAAACTGGAGCCCAGATGGGTTAATTTCCAGGGTCAGACATTACAGTCTCTCCTCCCGGCCCCCTCCCGCTTGTTTTTCCTCCCCTAGCCCTTTCAAGTCTTGTAAAATCAGCATTTGAAAGTCTTGGGAGGCCTGCCTCCTAGAATCCTAATGTGGGAATGCTAAAGAAATGACCATAGCATTTCGAGATCCGCCAGAGTAGAGAAGTAGTAGGTATTTCTGCCACTTTTTCATTTTCTGGGGAAGACACCGCGAAAGGAGGAAGAAAGAAGGAGAAGGGTCTTGTGTTTGTTTTAAGACCCTGAGAAGTGATGACTTGTTGCTTTTCCAAACAGGAATGCATTTTACCCCCGTCTTTGTTGTAAGAGACAAAAGAGGAAACAAAAGTGTCTCCCCATGGAAAGGCATAACTGTGAAGACAGCAACTTTTACAGGCAAAGCAGCGCGAGTCCGAGGTTTCCCTGTGGATGTCAATGTGGTTGAGATAAACATTCCTTTTTAAGGAAAAGTGATGGGCAGTGTGCTTTCATACCCCACTAAGTCAGAGGTTCTGACTTGGCTAAAGAAAATGCAAGGGGTTTTGTTTTAAATAAATTTAATTCAGAACATGTGATCCAACAGTCTGGCTTAAAATGGTCAGGGAAATCTCCATTTTTTTTTTCTCCTTCCTATAAGCCTGTATTTAGGTTTTCTTTTTCATTTTTCCTTGTATTTGAATATTTCAAGATAAAGGAAAAGCATAATGCCTTCAGCCTCATAATAAAGAAAAATTAAAAAGAAAAAAAAAGAGAAGAACCATTTTTGTCCCTTTTTTCTCAGTTCCATACATCTGTTTGTAAAACATCATTTCTACATTGACCCTGGCTTTGTAGCTGGGTAGGGAGGTGATGTGCAGAGAAGCCAATAGTGAATGAAGAGGAAAGTTGGAACCATGGGCCTCATTTTTAGGGAAAGTCATTAAAAGAAGGTAAACTTCAAAGTAATTCTGGAGTTCTCTGAAATGTGCTGGATGACTTCAATTTATTAATCTTAAATCATGTACTTTTTTCCTGTAATAGAACTCTGATTCTTTTGCATAATGGTCTAAAGCTGAGCAGAGAGTCATGGGAACTTAACCTTTACTGCACCTTTGACGCTGCCCTCCAGTCACAGGCTACACTATCTTGTTTCTCAGAACAGTTTTTAAAATACCTGCCACAGAGGAGGGTACTGTCAGCAATACAAGAAACGCCATATGTGTAATGTTTAATTGATTGGAGCAGCTTTTGATATTAAAGTTAAAATTGACATGGTGTCTCTTAAACCTTGAAAACTGTCTCATCTTCCAGATTTTTTAAATTCCCACTACACAGGTTTTCGGCATCTTGTGTGTTGTTTCTCTTAAGTGCATGTGAAAATTGTAAAATAGAGACAAGTGCAGTATGTATATTTTGTAAATCTCCCATTTTTGTAAGAAAATATATATTGTATTTATACATTTTTACTTTGGATTTTTGTTTTGTTTTGCCTTTAAAGGTCTACAGTGAAGCCCCACTTTATCACATGTACAGATCACAAATAAATTTTTTTAAAAAATACAAAAGTAAATGTTTCTTTAGTTTGCTGTACCTGTATTTGTTAAACCAAAGAAAAGAACTTTTTGTTATGGAAAGAAGGTGTAGAGGAACACTTGGTTGTGTCCCCTATTAAGGAGGATGTCATATATTATTTCAATCTTTCTTTTTCCCTGCCTGTTAAAATAGAGTGTAATGAATGCTTTAACTGTCTTTTTTCCCCCCAGCTACTGCTTTCTGCCTGTACTCACCTCTCACCACTACCACTCACATACACTTGGTTTGGGATGCCTTACTGAAGGTGCAGAATAAGCATTTCTTCTAGAGAGATGTCTGCTCCATGTGGAAGAAAGGCCTGATGAACTGCTTCCATAAAGACTCAACCCAAGGAAACCCTATGGGACAGTGCTACTCTGACACATGGGTTATGACCCTAAGTTTGTTTGTTTGTTTTTCCTGTCTGATCCTTGGTTTTACTTGCTTTAGGGGATTCAGTCCATATTAGCGAGAAGACTGGAAGATATTTTAGTTATTTTCTGCTTTTCTGGTGATGCTTTCTATGAGAAGAGTTGAGTGAGTTGTTTCTATTTTTTAACTAATTAGTGTTTTTGTATTCTAAATGCACCTCATCTAAATCGTTGTATTTAAATGGGTTCAGGTGGTGGTTGGGATAAAAAGCAGAGAACTTGCCTGTGGAAACTTCTCAGCTGCAGGTTTCACTCTGCCTTCTAGGTTAACTGAACTAGAGGTCAAGTGACTCCCTGAAGTGGCAGTGACTCAGCAGCTCTGGCAGAAATAGACTCCAGGCCTGACCCGGGGATGGCCTCAGAAGCCAGGGAAGCTATTCTTCCCTTTAGGAGGAGAGGCTAACTTTGGAATCAGATGTGACAGAAAGATGCCTTCGCTATTCAGACACTTTGATATTAAAACAGTCCCTCGGGGGAATGACAGAGGCATTCTAATCATTCCAATTCCAAACCTCGCATTTTTTTACTCACTTCTTTAATTCAGGTGCCTGTTACCTGCCTTTTTGTAACACATTCTCTTCGTTATCCGACAGCAGTTGAGACCAGCAGCAGATTGAGTACTGCTGTTTTTCCTCCCCTGCTTCAGCTCAAAATTTCTGCAGTTCCAACGCTTCACAGAGACAGTTCTGTTTTTGTTTTAATTAACAGGCTCACACACGGCTGGTGTGTTTTACAAACACAAGGAATGAAAACCAGTGACAGACAGTTCTCCCCAGGAGGAAGCCACACGCGTGTGTGCTGTGCAAAGCAGCTTTCCTTTATGATCCTCCTGGGTTTTGAACATCACAATGGGTGTGAGGTCATCTTAACCTGTGAAGATTTTGGCATCAAGGAAGGAAAAGAACACCGACCTCAAGTCTCTTAGAATTTATCCATAGTTTGCTCATAAAACAACACCTTTTAGGTAAAGCATGCAGGCCTCTCTTAACACCATACTAATACTGCCTGTTAGGAATGTTTGCTTTTAGAATAGGTGGAAGGCTCTCAACAGGGATTTTGCTCACAAATTAACTGCTGGGGACACTTAGACTCTTCTACTGGGAGAGCTGTGTGACTGCTCGTATAAACGTGTCCTCTCATCAGCCCTGCCTTGTCCTTCGGGTCTCTCAGAGATAGATGAGTTTGGGTCTCTAGCTGGGGGACAAAGCCTGTATATGAATACTTTACTACCTGCTTTTTTGTAAGTGAAGATAAAAGGGCTCCATTTAACTCCTTTCATATTGTGGTACGGCGTATGCAGTCGATTCTTACCTAAGTATTTTGGAAGGTCAGGGATAAGTTTAAGGAGGTGCGTCTTAGCACAAAATACGTGAAGGAGAGTGTTTGTGAAAGGGCATGTATATAGTTTAAGAAAACATTGGCAGGAGTTTGGCGTTAATCCCTAGATAAGGAGCAGAAACAGTTGTGAAAATCTTCAGTTTATAAAACAAAACTAGTCTACAAAACAACCCCATGCAACATCTAATCTTTTTAAAGTAAGTATGTGAGAAATCTTGGCAATAAGTAAAAAATGTCCTATTGACAATATCTTACCATTAAAGAAAAAAAATTGAATTTTAAAAATGCGCTTGATATAAATACTGATATTAGGAATTTTGTTGGTCGGACTCTAGAGTATAACAGCTGTAGGTTTGAGCTCTGCAATTATACTGGGAAAATCTTCCACTCCCATCTTTAATTTCACTGAAAAGGCTATTTATAGATGGTATATTTTTACATATGCATATGTGGACAGTGAATAACAGTCTACAGGACTCTAAGAAACCCTAGAAGGGACCAAAAAGGGACCCAAAACACTCCAGTATGGACTTAAGTAAGCAATTCATAGATCTGTTCTATTTTTCTCATTTTCCCTCAGCGGCATTAAACTGATTTTGTAAAACTTGATTCTTCAATTCTTTCCAATTTGTGACAACATTCATACATCTGAATCTGTATTCCTTTACATTTCATCTAAAAGTGAACTAATTAAAAGGATACAATAAACATTTTATGCAAGTCTTTGGTAAACATGCATTGTGCCTCTTACTCTCTTTTGTTGTGAAAGAAAGAAAAGAAAAGGCACAATAATCCCTTGAAATTTTCTCAGTTGGGATTTTTTTGAAGTCGTAGAAAAAATGAAATTTGACCAACACAACAGTAGTTTATTAAAAGTGATCCAGTTTAGCAAGTGCTGTGTGAAAGGTTATAGCCACCATCCATCTGTCAATGGAGGGACAGATGTTGCCATCATGCTGAACAGATGTCAGTGGAGCTTTTAGACTAAGACAGAGTAGGTAGAAAGGCCTGGATGTCTACTTCCAGGGAAACACTGTGGATCACAGCTGTCTAGTCCCTAACCAATCATGGCTAGTGCAGGATCAGGCAACGTTTCAGTGCATGGGGTCTCCTTCAGTCGGGGACAGACACAACAGCAGCTAACAATAACAACATGTAAAAGGTACTGTGGCTTTTAGGAAGGCCTGCAGATAAAAATACAGCTCAGTCCACCTGAAATAACCTTCAGCCTAGTTGGGGAGGATAAGGACAGAATCCAAGGAGGAATAAACGAAGAACTATAATGCTAGACAGAATCTGGTAGATGTGATTACAAAAAAATCCACTGCCATCGAGTCAATTCCAACTCATAGTGACCCGCATTGCCCAATTTTTTTTCGGTGGAGTGGCTGGTGAGTTTGAACCACTGACCTGGTTAGTAGCCAAATGCCTTATCCTCTACGCCACCAGAGCTCCTTGGTAGATGTCATTACAGAGGCATAAATGCTATTGGGACTAAGATGACCTGCTGGTTGGTGGCACTTACTGTTTTTAAAAGCTCCTTTCCCATCCATTATTTTATTTTACCCTCACAGTAATGACAACAACTCTGTAATGTGGATTAATTCCTAGTTTAATGAGGAAGAAGCTGAGAAGTTCAGTGAGGAAGTGACACAAGTAAAGAACTGGTCCTCAGATTCTGAACCCAGTACTTTCTGTAATATACCACACAGCCTCTCCTGCAGAGTGCTGGGAGGCTGTGATAGGAGTGACCCACCCATTTGTGGAGAGAGGATCCCAGCAAATGCATTTCCCAAGAACCCAAATTATGTGATCTTCTGAGACAAAGCTTTTCCTTTAACATCTTGTGATTCTAAGCAGCCCTTATAAAGTACTAAATTGACACATCCATTTGTGGACCATCCACAGCTATTTATAAATCTCTGGCTGGCTGTTCTTCCCTCCTAGAGGTCAGTTGTCCCAATCTTCAAACAACTAGTGAAGGAAAATGAGCTCTAATATTGGCCATTGCAAATCTAATATAAAAGGTAAAGTCATTACTGTAATTGGGAGCCAAAATACACATTTGGGGGCTGTCTAGTCTCTTGAACTGGCTATTCTGCTACTTCTCTCCATTAGCAACTGTGTTCTACCATCTGATTGTAGGTCTTCTCAACACCAAAGGGGTTTTATTGCATGAAATCTTGGTTTCACTCAAAGACTATGCTATGTCTATATCATAGCCAGGTTGATTATAGTCTCTTTAATTTGGAATTTCTGTTTCTGGATATTTCTGTGCCAAGTGAGCATTTTTAAGGCTGGAATAATAGGAGAGAGGATTTTAGTTCTGATCAGTTACACTCAGCCAAAGGCATAAATGCTTCTCTAATTCTTGTCCTTAAAGCATCTTTCTAAAGACCGCAAACTAATAAAATAAAATTGAAACTATGAAGTGGGG